ACTGAGACATACATGGTCCCCTGGAGAAGGGGAAAGGATCAAGATCTGCTGAGCAAATTGGCAGCGCGGGAAGAGGGGGAGGAAGCTAGGAGAATGAGAAGTAGAGAAGAGGAGGGATGCAGAGGACATGAGGGAGCAGGAAGTTTGAGTCAGGGGAAGAATGGATGATAACAAGAATGGAGATATTGTAATAGAGGGAGCCATTTTTGGTTTACAGAGAAATTAGACACTAGGGAAATGTCTGGAGATCCACAAAGATGACAACATCTAACAATCTAAGCAATAGAGGAGAGGCTAGCTTAAGTACCTTCCCCTGATAATGAGATTGATGACTAACTTATATGCCATCCTATAGCCTTCATCCAGCACCTGGTGGAAGCAGAAGCAGACACCCACAACTAATCACTGAACTGAACTGAAACTCAGATTTAGAGAAGGTCGAGTGAAGATCAAAGCCGTCCAGACCAGGCTGGTGAAACCCACAGAAACAGCTGACCTGAAAATCAGGGAACTCTTGCTCCCCAGACTGATAGCTGGGATACCAGCATGGGACAGATCCAGACCCCAGGAACATGGGTTTCTGTGAGGAAACCTCGGAAATCTACAGAATCTCCTGTAGAAGTTCAGTACTTCTCCCTAGCATAGGTGTGGACTTTGGGAGCCCATTCAATATAGAGGAATACTCCCTGAGCTAAGACACATGGGGGTGGGCCTAGGCCCTATCCCAAAGGATACAATAGACTCTGAAGACACCCTATGAAAGGCCTCACCATGCAGGGGGAGCAGAAAGGATATGTGATAGATAGGGTTATAGTTGGGGTTGGTGGTGGTAGGGGAGGATGGGTGGGAGAAGGGAACTGGGATTGTCATGTAAATCAGTCTTGTTTCTAATTCAAATAAAAAAAGTTGAAAAAAAATAAAGATGTTAAGATAGGCAATGTGTCTCATTTGGCCATGTATAAAGGCAACAAGGAAAGACTAAGGTCATAAATTTTGACAATGGAAACACAGTTATAAATTTTCATATTCTGAAAAAATAAGGAAAAGGATTCCTTTCTTCATTTGGGCAACATAAAAGGAAGGAAGCCATTATGAACAGAAATGAATTTCATAGTCTAAGGGTTGTAATTCAATAACTCTGAGCACGAGGCCAACGGGAAGATCAAATCCTCTCCCACTGTTGTAGGTCCCCAGAACTCAAAGGTTCAGGTATATGCTTGACAACCAGAACATATTCCACCAGCAAGATGATTAATGCTCATAATGTTTTAAAATTATTAAGACAAGTTTTCCAGTTGTGCTGTTCTCAGGGGTATGGTTGCCTTCATATTCCCAATGCAGCTGGTAGAAAATCTCATCCTAAAACATTAGCCACAGTAAAGGGTTCCATATGGAGAGGCTTGGAATAGGAGTGAAGCTGCTTATTTCATGTATTTTGAAGGGATATGTGGCCAGCACACTCTCATAGCATGCAGAAAAGGAAAGCTAGTGGATGAAAGCAACTCCAGTAAGCAACAGACACTCATGTAATTCAGACTCAGTGACAGCATTTCCACAGGGAAAATGAGCTTCATTGACACTCTCCAACCTTCAAACATATGGCTGGAAGTTTCCAAATAAATAATAATTTTAGTGAGCATTGTGTGTAGGTATGTGTTTGTAAGATATGAGTGTAGGGGCATGCATACCATGGTGATGGGGGATGTCCTTCTGTATGCTGTGAATATGTGTTTCTCTTATTGGTTGATGAATAAATCTGTTTTAAGGCAGGATGTAGCCAGGAAGGAAGTACAGGCAGGGCAACCAGAATAGGAGAATTCTGGGAACAGGTATGCAGAGAGTGAGTAGAGAGGCAGATGCCATGTAGTTTCTGAGGAAGAAAGAGGCCCAAGTATCACTGGTAAGCCTCCCACATGGAGATACACAGATTAATAGAAATGGATTAATCATTAAGACACAGCTAGCCAATAAGAAGCCTGAGACATTGGCCAAACAATTTATAATTAATATAAGCTTCTGTATTTATTTGGGACTGAATATCTGTGGGACTGGACTGGACAGAAACTTCAGTCTACACCATGGCATACATTTAAAAGTCAGAAGATAGCTTTGTGAATAATTGGGGCCAATCTAAGGTCTTAGGCTAATTTTATGAGTTCTTTTACCTGTCTCTAAGGCTGACAGTTTAAAGCGCCAGAATGAAAATGCTTTGAAATCTCATCCATTTTCTTTTCTGTCTTCTCCAGTTTATCCTCCTTTCTGCTGCTTTACCTTTATCTAATCCATTTAAGATTTCTACATTTGACTTTGGGAGTCCATCCCACATAGAGGGATACTCCTTGATCCTAGACAAACAGGTGTGGGCTTAGACCCTATCCCAAAGAACATGACAGACTCTGAAGAAGCCCTATGGAAGGCCTCACCCTCCCTGGGGAGCAGAAAGTATATGGGATAGGTAGGGTGTTTGTTGTGGGGGCAGGGGAGAGGGGAAGGAGAGGGAACTGGGATTCACATGTGAAACAACCTTGTTTCTAATTCTAATTTAAAAAATGGAGGAAAAAGAAAGATTTCTACATTTACCCTAAATAGTTTTTATATTCATATGACATTCTGTAGTAGTTTTGCCATTTTCATTTTTATGATCTTTAGTGAGGAATTAGTAGGCTATGCCTGATTTTATAAATATTTATAGAACTTATATGGCTTAATGTTGTTCTTCTCAAGGGAGCTTCTTTCCCTATGGTGAATGATGTTATGAATTGGACTGTAATTAGTAGGGTTATCAATAAAAAGAACCCGATTCCTGATATAATAAACAGTGTGAAAATTACAACACAGAAGTGCATATAATTTGACAAAGCTAGAGACTGTGAGTCCTCCTCTGAAAGATCAAAGATAATGAAATAGATAATCACAAAGAAATATTTCAGAAGTTTTCTAGTAGAAATGATCAGTGATGTGGAATAGTATATAGATTAGTAGATGGATTAAAGCTAGGATCTTAAGAAGTGAGGCATTATCATTAAAAACCAGAGATGTGGATGGGGAAGCTAGAACTCTGAATGAAAATAATAGCAGCCCAGACTAAACACTTAACAAAGACAATGGGGTGACTTTTAAAACACAAAGTTTGTAAATGAAAAGCTATTGAATAAAAAATTACCTATAATAATGAAACATTAGAAAACATCATCAAGATTAGGTCAAAGAAAATTGTGTCTTTGAGGTAAAAGATAGGGTAGATGAAACATTACTTTCAACCATTAATAAAGATAAATTAAAGCATGACCACACTATCAGAACTCTGGGATACAATCAGGGAGCCACATAATGTATTTATTGGTGAGAGCATGGAACTAAAATAAAAAATTCAATGTATAGAGATACTACTTTTAAAAAATTATAGCAGAAATTTTCCTAATTTAGAGAAAGGAGAAGGCATCCTAAAACAAGGGGCATTTAGAGTCCCAAATAAATATGTCCAGAAAAGATATTTTAAAAGTCAAGAAAAAATATTAAAATCTTTAAAGAAAAAATGTCATCCCCCTATAAAAGCAGAACCACCAGAATAACATTAGATCTATTTCAGCCACCCCAACATACAGTAAAGTATGAAATAATGTATTTCATACCCTGAAGATAGATAACTACCAAGCAAGATTGTTCTATCTAGCAAAGCTATCTTTTACAATTGAAGAAGAAATAGGACATTTCAAGAGAAATTGGGAGGTCTTGCCTACTAGTTCATCACTGCAGAAGATTACTAAGATAATAATGCTCAAAGAGTAGGAAGGAAGTCTTAAATATGAGCCCACAGGAAGGGAGATGTTTCTTGAGAGAAAAAGATGAACAATGGAGAGTAAAGAAAGTATCCTTTACATCCAACACAGTAAATAGCAAAATCCTGTAGGAATTCTTAGTTTAGGAAAAAGAACAAATACTAATCACACTGTGATAGTTTGAATAAAAATGGTCCCCATAGGCTTATATATCTGAATATATAGTCATCAGTGTATGGCACTCCTTAGCAGGGATTAAGACATGTGGCCTTGTTGGAGGAAGTGTGTCACTGGGGCTGGGTTTTTGGGTTTCAAAAGCCCAAGCTAGGCCCAGAATCACTTTTTCTCCTGCTACTTAAGGATTTGAATATAGAACTTCCTCAGTTACTTCACCAGTACCATGTTTGCCTCTGTGCTGCCATGCTCCATGCCATGATGATAATGAACTAAACTTCTAAAATGGAAATCAAGCTTACATTACATGCTTTCTTTTATAAGAGTTGTTGCAGCCATGACACCTCTTTACAGCAGTAGAACAGTGACTAAGATACCTACCAATTAGAAAAGAATGAACAGATTTAGTAAATTAATAAGAGTGTTCCAATGATAGCCTTGAATGCAGTCTCAACTTGCCAAAAAAGATATATAGGCTTACCGATCAGATTAAAGATTAAATCCCATAATCTGTTGCCTTTATGAAACATCTCAGTGATAAAGACATTTGAAGGTTGAGAATCAAGCAACTGAGGAAAAAGATCTATCAGTTTAACAGCTTTGTTTGAAGCAGAGAGAAGACAGATAATAAAACAGAGCAGGGGGTGGAGTGGAGGGAAGTAACTACAGGTTCTAATGAAATAAGAATCATTAAGAAGTATTTTGCCCATCCTGGTACACTCCTAAAACCACAGGAATCTAGATTATAACCAAGATTAACAAAATATAATATAAAGATAAAACAGAAAACAACACACTAATGGTGGAAAGGGCAACACAACAGAAGGAAAAGAGTCCCAAGTACAGGGACAAGAATCAGAGACCCCGTAGTTCACACATTCAGCAGGCCCATAAAAATACTAAACTAAGTGCTATCACGTAAGCAGAGGACTTGGTGCAGAACCTCACAGGTCCTGTAAACATGTTCCCAATTCTACCCCTCTATGTTCAATTGCTGCTTCAGTCTCTGTGACTACTCATGAATCTTGTTCAGCTGTTGAAGAGTACCTTGTTCTCCTGGTGTCCTCCATCTCCCATGTATCTCACACTCTGCCTCCTCTTCTGTTGGGTTACATGCAAAATCTCTCAGTTTAATTCTGGCAAATAAAATTTAAGAAGGTATTATGAACCTCAAATGCCATGAGCATGATGGTTTTATTCTTGGAATAAAAAAGTTAGTTTAATATATGCAAACAAGTAACTGTAATACAGCACAAAACAGGCATAAGGACAGCAATCATACAATCAACTCAGCACCCTTAGTTAGCAGAGCAATGAATACTGTACCTTCTTAGAGGTTCCCTCATGCTAGTAATCAAGGAAGCAAGCGAGAACAATTACTGGGTAAGATGTAAGGGAAGTGGAAGCCCATTCCCTGCTATGGTAATGTAAACTGGTGCAGTCAGGGTGGAAATCATGTACATGTTTCTCAAAATTCTGCAAATAGTCTTGTCATATTAATCAGGTATGGGGTTATTGGGTATACATGTGATAAGCTCCGGTGATCATTGAATATCTACATGAATTGCTGCACTAGTCACAATACATAGGACATGGAATCATCTTAGAGATACACCAACACATGTGATCATATGTGATCATTTAAAAGTGAACTATGACATGTATTGGGAAATGGGCGTACCTAGAAATGCTTAAGTAAAATGAGCCAGACTGAGAAATACAAGAACTGCATATTTTCTCCAATCTGCAGAACTTAGATTCAGAGAACAAGAATGGGTATATTTGTGAGTCTTTTCACAAGTTAATGTTTATGTTTTGAAGCTACACAGAATGATAGCAGAGAGAAACATAGTAAGAAAGGGAGGAAATAAGGTAATTGAATACTTCAGGAAAGTAATATGGATGAAACAAAAGTACTCCAGAGATTGACAGGGGAAATAAAGGAGAGTGTGGAAGGGAGAACCAGGAGAGGAATGTATAATGGCACATATATCAAAATGCCATAATGAAAGCTTTTACTTGTACACTGATCTAAAAAAATGAAATGTTTTATAATATATCCTATATCTTACAGGTATAGTATATAGCATATGGACAAACACATGCACACACACACGACAGAGAGAGAGGGAGAGAGAGAGAGACAGAGAGAGACAGAGAGAGACAGAGACAGAGACAGAGACACACAGAGAGAGACAGAGACACAGAGAAAGAGAGAGAGAGGAAGGAGGGAGGGTGGGAAGATGGAAGGAAGGAAGGAAGGAAGGAAGGAAGGAAGGAAGGAAGGAAGCAAGGAAGCAAGGAAGGAAGAAAGGAAATGAAATTGATTTTGAAACTGCCAACTGAAATGGCTCCATGGTCACAATTAAGTTTTGTTGGAGTGCACTAGCCAGTTACTTTTGCTTATGGAATATTTACATGTGTACTTCTTATTTTCTCATTTGCAATAACATGCTTGAGTAAGGCCACAATGTTTTGTTAAATATACAAAGACTCTGTATGACTAAGAGAAGGAAAACCTTACAGGTAATGGCAGACCCCTGTGATGTTTGGAATCTTCAAATTGGGTTTAGATATAGGCATTTCCTCAAATTGTTATCATTTATGTTAACATGTTCAAAAACATTTCTTCAGTTTTTCAAGCTTAATTATGCAGTGTTTTTAAAAATATGCTGTGAAAACTTCTTATATAAATGGAATACATGTTCTTCACGTGATATTTCCTAGAATTATGGGGTAGTGGGAAATATTTTAACTTCCATGTATGTAAAATGTAACATCTTTATAATTGTTAAGTCATTACAACCTCAAATATTAATTATTTCATGCAGGATGATGAAGATGAATGGTAAGAAAATTATTATCATTTTTATAGTTTTTAAATTGCTTCCTGCTTTAAATCTGTTATCTTTTAGAGGGAAATATCTCCATTATCCTGTTTGGACTTTGTCCCTCTTTGTTTCCGTGAATCTCTCATGCTTATTTTTCAAAAATATTTTATGGAAAGAAAGAACTGAAGCAACTCCAAATTTAAGTTGGTCAAGTTTTGAAAAAGCCACTTTCTGTATTGCCTGTAAATCTTATAAGAACCAAAGAAAACTGAAATATATTCTGTTATGTGACATATAGTTTAAAAATTGAGTCCTTTTCTAAAATACAAATTCTATAGTCCACATAATAAAGTCAGTTACAGCTGTTTTAAAGCAAATATCAAAAGTTGATTACATGAGCAGTGCTGTGACTGCATTCTGGATCATCAGCACATCTGTCATGAATCTTCTCTCCATCTAGCCATATCATATTTATCTTTTGATTTCAGTTCTTCTAGAACAGGACCCATTTTACTCAAGGGAGTAAATCACACAGTTGGGTCTTAGATGATGTCAGCTGTTTAACTATCATATGACCTTAGCATGGCCACTTATTCGAGTGCCAGGTGACCAAAGTAGGCCAGTAAGGTCCAGGATGCTTGAATGAGATGCTGACATCCACTTTGCTCTTTCATTTTCTTCTGGGTAGCATTGTTTTCATCCATGTGAGGATGCAACTGGTATAAGGAAATAAGAAGAGAAAGACTCAGAGGAGAGTTAGAACCTGAAACATTCTCTTCCTCTAGAGTCCACATCCTATGAAATAATAAGATTTCTCATTTTAAAGCAATATGAATTTATTTTAAAATTACTTACGCAAATATATCTAGGATTACAATGGATAGTCTTTGAAAATTTTAATGTGTTGAGAGAATCCAGACTTGGATTAGGCAATGTGACATGTCTAATCCCAAAGATGGATTGATTGTTGCAGAAATGAAACTTATCCTTACATCACCTCATTTCTGGTATTACCAGCATTATCCTTTTCCTTTTAGTAAGCATTTTCCAGTAAAGTTCATCACAAAGAGAATAAACATAGAATTCCAATGTTATTATGTTGCTCCATGATGCTAAGTAACAGAAAAGTGCATTCTGTCAAAAGATCTGTTTTTTCTTGGGCTTATAGCCTTGATTACATTCTCAAATTTGCAGAGTTTATATCCCAAGTCCAAATAATTCAGATGAACTCCCGGCTGTCATACTCATCTACATTATTAATTAAATTATGTCTAGGGAAAGCTTTTGTACAACTGGCTAAAACCATCTAAAATGCTATTGTTAATAGCAACTGGGTGTTCCTGATGTGAGAATAATTACATCATTGACTCTGAATATTTATCACTGGTTTAATACATTAATACATCCTGTTTAATTATTTTTATATATAGAAAATTTAAAAATTAACTATAATTTCTTTCTTCATGTATAATTCACAAATATGTTAAGTATACAAATTGTTGTTTTGACACTTCCTTGATTATAAAGTTAGTACTGTATTGCCAAGCACAAAGACATCAAAAATTAAAAGAAAACATTAAAAGTCAATAGTATAAGAGCAATGGTAAAGCAAGAGAACCCATAGGAATTAAAAACATAGAGAAACAGGAGCCACAGACATTAAAAAAGATAAAGAAAAAAGAAGCATTGCTGCTGCTGTGTCTCCACTCTGACTATGTGCCTCTGCTCACAGGATGACTGTTTGCCCTGGGTCCTCCACGCCTCTGAAAAGACATCAATGACCATGATGAACACCTTTCACTGATGTCTCTCATCCTCTCTGTGGAGAGTCTCGGTTGTCACTTATGAGAGAGAAAAGATTTCCTGAGGAAAAGAATCACCAGACTCCCTGAAGTCTTGTGGCAGAATGAATCATGTATTTTAGATTTTTCCAACATCACAGAATTTGTTTCTTTTAGGTTTTAAAAACTGATGCAACCCTTCACTGATCTCTATTTCTTAATATAAATAGGAAGAGTAAAGATGGAGGGAGAGGGTGTGGGAAGAGACAGCTGGAATTGGAGTTGCTGTGGAAACCTAGTGCAGTGGAAACCTCCTGGGTCTATGAGGGTGAACCTAGCCAGGCCTCCTACTACTGGAGAATATGGACTGGACATCTTCTGGAGCCAGGCAATGTCTTCAAATGGTGATACCAGGTTGCATTTAGTTGAGTTGTTTGCCCAGGGGATCCATGGAAATCCTTAAACAACCCAGGCTGATTCTCGGACATAAGATCATTCTCTAGAAACTGACAATTGGGCCGCATTGCTGAGGACACATCCACACAAGTCATTGAATGCCAAGAGGTTGAGCTTGTGGGTACTTGAATTCTTCACTCCTATGTTCTAGTCTCTTTGGTATGGGATGGTAGACTACAGGCCATGGAAATCAAAACCTTGACACAAAACCGACTGTAAAAACAAACAAACAAACAAACAAAACAAACAAACAAAAAAAACCCCTTGACCTAAATTGTCCTTCTTGCAAGAATTATGGGAGTGGTCCACAAATGTTTGGTTTAATTTGAGTTTCACAACAAGAAAGGGAGTCAATGCTCTATGATGCCTGGATGGCCAGGATCCAGAGACTGTATAGTTCAGAGACGTAAGGTAGAACAAAACATTTCAGGAAAAAAATAATCAATGGAATTATTCCTAATGATATCCCGCTACACTCTAGATCACTGCCTTGTCCAGTCATCATCAGAGAGGCTTCCTCTGGCAGCAGATGAAAGAGGGTGCAGAGACGGACATCCAGATATTACACAGTAAGTCTATATTGGGAGTTTCCATCATGTCCCTCCCTAGTAGATCTGGAAACACAGTGGAAGAGGAAGAAAGAATGTAACAGTTTGAGGGGATGGAGGACACCAGAACTTGGCCCACTGAATCAACTAACTGGCTCTCACATAGGCACACAGTTCCTGCATGGGTCTGTACCCGGTCCTCTGCATACATGGTTTTTTTTTTTTTTTTTTTTTTTTTTTTTTTTTTTTTTTTTGTGGGAATCCTAACAGTGGGAGTGGGTGTATGTCTGATTCTTTTGCCTACTCTTGAGATTTGTTCCTTTCTATCAGGTTGCCTTGTCCAGGCTCTATATGAGGGCATTTGCTTTTTATTATTGTATCTTCTTTTGTCCTGTTTGGCTGATGTTTATTGGATGCTTGCACTTTTCTGAAGATGAAACTGAGGAGAATATATCCAGAGGAGTGGAGAGGTGGTGGTGGTGGGAGCTGGGAAGAGTGTAGAGAGGGGAACTGAGGTCAG